CAGTGAGAACAGCCTGTCCCCTTCCTCCCTGCATTCTCCCTTCCTGAACTTAGACATATTAATCATATCCCCTCTGAGCCGTCTCTTCTCCAGAGAAAACAGGCCCAGCTCGCTCAGCCTCTCTTCATACGAGAGATGTTCCATTCCCTTCAGGGCATTTCGGGGTTTTTCAGGGTGGTTTCAGGGCGATTTTGGGGCCTTTCAGGGCATTTCGGGGTGGTTTCAGGGCGATTTTGGGGTGTTTCGGGGCGTTTCGGGGCGGTGTCCGCACCTTGCGGACCTGGCGCAGGTCGCCCTGGCAGGACGAGGGCAGCAGCTCCACGCGCTCCATGAGGCCCTGGAGCTGCTCGCGCACGGCCCGCGCGCGCCGCAGCGACCGCAGCTGCACGAAGTTCTCGTAGCACCACTGCACCGAGTAGCCGCTCTCCACCCACTGCCGCCGGCACCAACAGGCGGACACGGAGATGCGGGGCCGTTGGGCACAAGGACGTGGGGATGTGGGTCACATTGACATGGAGACGTTGGACACGAAGACGTGGAGGTGTTGGTTGTGAAGACGTGGGGACGTTGCGTACGATGACGTGGGGATGTTGGGCACGTTGACGTTGAGGTGTTGGGCATGACGACGTGGAGACGTTGGGCATGACGACGTGGAGATGTTGTGTACATTGACATGGTAGAGATTGGGTACGATGATATGGAGACATTGGGCATGAAGACATGGAGATGTTGGGTGTGAAGACGTGGGGATGTTTGGTACCATGATGTGGAGATGTTGGGCACGTTGACATGGAGACGTTGGGCATGGAGACATGGAGATGTTGGGTGTGAAGACGTGGGGATTTGGGGTACGATGATGTGGAGACGTTGGGCATGTTGACATGGAGACATTGGGCATGAAGACATGGAGATATTGGGTGTGAAGACGTGGGGATTTTGGGTACGATGATGTGGAGACGTTGGGCACGTTGACATGGAGACATTGGGCATGGAGACATGGAGATGTTGAGTATGATGATATGGAGATGTTGAGTACGATGACAGAGACGTTGGTCATGTTGACATTGAGATGTTGGGCATGAAGACATGGAGATGTTGGGCACAAAGAAGTGGGGATGTTGGGTACGTTGACATGGGAGACGTTGGGTATGATCATGTGGAGACGTTGGACATGAAGACATGGAGATGTTGGGCATGAAGACATGGAGATGTTGGATGCGAAGACGTGCGGATGTTGGGTATGATGATGTGGACACATTGGGCATGTTGACACGGAGATGTTGGGCATGGAGACACGGAGATGTTGAGTATGATGATGTGGAGATGTTGGGTACGATGACGTGGGGATGTGGGGTACAATGATGTGGATACGTTGGGCACGTTGACATGGAGACGTTGGGCATGAAGACACAAAGATGTTGGGTACAGTGACGTAGGGATGATGGACCAGATGACATGGAAATGTTGGGAATGTTGACATGGAGATGTTGGTCATGGTGACGTGGAGATGTTGGGAACGTTGACGTGTTGGTCATGGTGACACGGAGATGTGAACATTGACGTGTTGGTCACAGTGACATGGAGATGTTGTTGGGAACGTTGACGTGTGGGTCATGGTGACATGGAGATGTTGGGAACGTTGACGTGTGGGTCACGGTGACGTGGAGATGTTGGGAACGTTGACGTGTTGGTCGGTCATGGTGACATGGAGATGTGAACATTGACGTGTTGGTCATGGTGACGTGGAGATTTTGGGAACGTTGACGTGTTGGTCATGGTGACGTGGAGATGTGAACATTGACGTGTTGGTCATGGTGACATGGAGATGTTGGGAACGTTGACGTGTTGGTCACGGTGACGTGGAGATGTGAACATTGACGTGTTGGTCATGGTGACATGGAGATGTTGGGAACGTTGACGTGTGGGTCATGGTGAC